TTATTAAGAATTCTCTCATTCATCCAATCTTTGAGAAAATCATTTTTCTAATCAATAAATAAGGTTTCATATATAGCATAGTTTCTTATAACTAAACCAAAGAAGTTGTTAATAGGATTGTAGTTCATTATTAAAATGAGTTCCCTAGTATTGATCTATTATTGAAATAGAATAGATAATTGCCTAATTTATCTTGTTCTAATAATCTGATAGTACCAATAACTGAATCCATATTAAAATTATCAATATTAATACTAATAAGCTTTATTGTGTTATCTGCAATAATAAAATTAATAATCTTTTACTTATTTTTTAAAAGTTTTTGATATCTCAACTTTTATAGTTATTGGTTTATGTATATTATTGAAATATCTTTTTTTTACTGAGTAACTGTCAAAGTCTTTTTCACAAAATATATACTTTCATACCTTTGGAGATGAAAATTGTTTGACTTTTAGTTGTTTGTAAGCAGGTAAACCTGACTTTTTTTTCTATTGAAGCTGATTTTTTCATGATCTTCATTTTTTCTTCTTTTTAAAAAAGTCAGTGTTTACTTGCTAGATGGAAATGACAGTTTGTTTAAAATTACTAAAATAAATAGAAGAGATCTTTCCTATTCATGTTGCAAAGAACTTTTTAATTTGAAATAATTGTTCAATTGATCTCGAGTATTTGAAAACAGTATTATAGAAAAGACTAATCTCTACAGAAATATTTGTTATGATATTGATTTATATAAAATTTTGCTTCATTGTTTGCTTTTGTAAAAATTCTCTTATAAGAAAATTTTATTTTTGAAAAAGTATTGAATAGAAAAGAGTTTTGATGTATTATATCATATTATTTTAAATTTTTTGAATAATAAATTTTCTTATTTTATATATATATATTTTTATCTATAAGATATAAATTTATAGTTTGATTAAAATAGTAGTACTAGTATATTTTGACTTTTTTCAATTAGATAAAAACTTGAAGACCTTAATTTTTTTTTAAAAAGTATTATATTATATATTTTTACTTGTCTTTTGATATTATAATTATATTTCCTAAGAACTTATTTAGTCAAAAAAATTTTTTTCACATAAATTTTTTTTCAATTATTAATAATATCTTTAGAATATATAATTGTAATCAATAAAATATATTTTATATTTCAAAAAATAATATTTTGTATTGATCAAATATTTTTGATAAGATTTTTTATACTATTCAAAGATTTAGAATCAAATTAAAATAAATAAAATTTTCTAGAAAATTATAAAAGTAGAAACTCTAAAAGGATCAAAACAGCTAACAAAAGAAAAAATGAATTCTTTCATTATATAAAATTTCTATAATAACTTGCTTCAAAGATGAGAAAAATCTTTTAAGTACTCAACAGCTAGTTTTCTTTTTTAATTTAGACTTTGTTTAGTTTAATCCAAACTAGCTTAGTGGATTTCTCATATGTTTTTTTAAGTAAGTGTAATCCTTTAACTAATAATTTATAATAAATATTTAGTCGTCATGTGAATAGTCAACGTAAAATTGCAGAATATCTCAATAAAGACACACCAGGACGGCATAAAATACAGTAAATTGGTTTTAATGATAACTTATATTTGTTCAGGAATATATAAATTTATAAATATACTGCTTCTATATATGATTATATGTAATTTTAATAAAATGGATCGACCGGAGATGAAGAAATGCCGTAAATTCATCGTGCTAAACTCAATAATCGTCGCGTCCGCTACCTAACAAAATCTGGCGCGATAACACCATTTCGGTAAATTATCTGATTGGCTGCTGGCGTCGTGTCGTGTTTTGATCCTTAAAAGGCAAACTCGCGAAATAAACCCACACAAAATGATCTTAAATGAAAGTTTCTCAACGTCCCGGAAGAACAAAAATAAAAGTTCATTCTCTCTAAAGAATGTGTTGGAGATGGCCGAGAAAATTGGATATGTTAATGTGAACTAGGAGAATTTTAAATTAGAACCATGTGGAAGCTTTTAACAAAGAGTTTACTGACACGCTGACCGAATGTTTGAATGCAAATAGGAAGATGGCCCATTTTCATCGAAAGCAAAATCTTCAATACAATTGGTTGACTTGTTGAGTGAGATACTTTCTCTTCGTGACCAAAGTGAAAAGGTTTGATCGTCTAAATATTTGATTCATGGCAATAGGCTATTCAATGGATTCACTCATTCGATTTAGATTCGTGAGATGTTAACCAAAGTCCACGATTCTCAAACGAGCTTCGATCTAATCAACGAACCCGAGCTTGGTAGACTACTCTACACGTAATTTAAATTTAGTTGAACGTCACAATTTGGCCTTACCAAGTTGACATAGTTTTATTATCTTCTAAAATCATTAGAGAAGAAGATTAAAATATTCGCCGATTTTAGTAGACACGTAGAATCCATTATTTTAAATAAACAGACCCTTTCGATGAAGCTTAAGGATCCTTTTGTTGGCGAACATATCAACATTGAGCCCGAATATCACAGGTATTTCTGACCTGTGCCCATATTTTCGCGACTTTTATTAATCAAATGTTTGATGATTGATTTGCTGTAAACATAGAGACTTTTCGGGATTATTTCCGTCGATTGCACAAAGCATCGCTTCATTGCCACGTGATTTGGAGAGCATTCAATGGTTTGAAGGTTACAGTGTTACCGACGGAACGATCGTAATTATTGGCAGACCTCATTTTTTCATCATTTTCCTTATATTCTCACGTCGTAATTTTCATGTTCATAAACCTTATCTTTCATTAATTTTCTTGATAATTCATGTGTTAAAAATATTAGGAATCACAAATCTCGGAAATATCATCTTTGATTGCAATGTATGGGAATTATTCCGATTGCCTTGATCGTGTTAGAGCTGCTTCAAAGGATATTCAGGATATTGCCGAGGGAAAAAGAAAGGCTACGATTTAGTAAATCCTTTGGTATAAAAAAGCAATATTTTCTTTCTTCTACCTTCACATACCTTCACATAACCAGTCTCACGGTAAATCAATAAATAAATAGAGGGTAGAATTCATGATTCCAAAAATGTACTTAATATGTGATACGTAATAAACATGGTCGATCCAATAAATTCAGCCACAAACTTATGCAATAAAGAAATGTTACTTTACGCCATTTTCAATTTTCAACATGTAGGTTTTTGACAAAAGGAATGAAATTCCTCACGACCTGATCTTTATCTAGATGATAAATTTGAAAAATAAGACTCGCAAATTCACGGTTACTAATGACTTTATTCTTATAACCTCGCACACCCTCAAAGAATGGAAGATTCAATTGCATCGGTTTTAGAGTCATTGTAATTAGACCTTTTCAATGGTCGCTCTTCTTTCTACCTTCCATATTTTCATTTGTTTTTTAATTGAACGTTTAAATTTAAAGGAGCAAATCGGATGGCGTCAAAGGCGTTTTAATTGCTGATGAGCACGGCCTATGCATTGGGAGTAAGTCGACATCGATTTTTGTTCCCAAGTCTTTTGCATGAAAAGGTATACCACCCTTTACTTGTTTATTTTTAAATCAACATAAAGCCCGGGGAGCGGCGAAAAAGAATTGTGCTGGAATCGTCACTGCAATTGCCAGGCATGCCAGAGCCTTACGCGATGATCCGGCTTCAAAATTGCCTATCATAAAGATTGAAGTCGACAATTCGTAGGTTTCCCTTTTTTTTTAATTTTTCAAATTGGAGTTCAATACTTTATCGAACCTTTGTTATTTATTAGGACGATATTGATAACGAGTGATGGAAACCACACTTTTGCTGCGTTTAAATGACTTTGTTGCTTGGAGAAATAAGATTTCTAGATTGCACACCTGATATTTAACTGTAAAAATATTTCTAATGGATATTGGGTGGATTTTTTTTATTGTTGAGGGAAAAGTTTCGTCACGAGAAAGAATAAATAACCTGTGGGTTTGCAATAAACTTCATAGATGCATACAATTATTTATTTTTAATATTTTAATAAGCATTTTAATAAGAAAGTTGTTTCAAAGAGGAATAATAAGTATTATGTTTATTAATTGGTTTTCTTCAGTTAAACCATTTTTTATGCAGTCCGACCGATCCGGAATTGTGGAATTTTCTATCTATCTTTTAGATTACCCGTTGTGATGATTAAACTCACCATCTATCACGGATTCTTATGGTTCAGGTTGGCGAATAACCGAATTCAAGGTTTAGTCTGATCCCGAGGATATGCGTATCTAGGTTTCATGCGACTTCCAAAAACGTTATTTTGTAAAGGAACAAATATTCAGTTCGTCATATTGAAAGCGATTCCATACCGAGGGCCCTATGCTTTATTTCTCTTGTCGTGATCCGGGTGGAAAAGAAGAAAATATACACCAACAAATTTATTTTATATTGATGTTCGCGAGAAACTACGCTATAGTTGTATTGAAGAGATTTACTGTGCATTGCAGAAATCCGACATTTTTTAGGTCGGGATAATACAGTAGGTGAAGGCATACAAATCAAAACTTTATTCGCGCGATTCGTGCTGTAGAATTTATGAATTGCCAGCACGTGAAAATTAAGAATGACAAATTTCTTGAAAAAGGTGTCCAGTTATTTCAAGTTGCTCGAAGAGGACAATGGCACATTAAAATTATGAGCTACTGTCTGTGTTACCTGGTTCAGGTAATTTGCAAGTTGTCGAATCAATTATAAGAATTCTATTTAAACTTAACCAAAAACCTATATTAATTTAGCTGAATTGGGAATAATCATCATCTATTGATGTTATTGGCCCAAGAGCGTCGTGTAATGCAACAAAAGTTTTAGGTTTTCAGATCAGGATTACTCTTACCGAAATTTGATATCCATGATTGCTTCCACGGCTTCAAGCACCGAAACTCATAATTCAAAGTCGTCTAATCTCACCATAAATGCTCCATCGCCTGGAACGAAAGCATGGACAAATCAAGAATTTCAGAATGTTGTCCGAACGCCTTTACCATTCCCTCAACCACTTGATCGGGAAATGTTTGCTGGATCGGACTTCGACAGTGATACTTTCTTAGCGAGCAGGCGACACGTTACTCTAGATGAATTGAAGAAAGAACTTACTGCACATTTGAAAAGTCTTAAGAATGAGTTGGTGGAAATGATAAATAGGGATTACGCAAGCTTTATAGATCTTTCAACTAACTTAAAGGGCGTGGACAAAGTCATCGAAGAGGTAGCAAGGCCATTAGGAAAAATGAGGGAAGAGGTTCAGGTTGGTTATGGGATGAGACTTATTCTCGTATTTTCGATCTCTCGTAGCAGGTCTCTAATATAGCAATTGTCGTCACAGGGTGTTCGCACAACACTTCAGGGTGTAATTGATTCATTGGAAAACCAATTATCTCACCGAACATCCATTCGAGAAAAGAAGGTGCGGGTTAACTAATGACCTTTATTAAAATCGATTGTAAAGGAATAAAAATTTTCATCGTAATTTCTTATCATATGATTTGTTTCAGGCGGCTTTGCAATTGCTTATAAATATTCACGAATCGGTCCGTAAAGTCGAAAACTTGTTATTGATTAGTGGTGATAGTGCATCGAACATTGCGTCCGGTGATGAAAGGTATTTCCCGGTTCTTACACGTCATCACTGCATTACTGCCACGAAGAAATCGTACTAAATTTTTGTCACCTACCAGCGGAAACAATGTGAAACAAATTGAACGGGTGGCTATCGAGTATAATCAGATGCAATATCTGGTTAATAGAGGAAAAGATTTGCCTTTCGTGGAAAATATTGATTGGGTAGAAGCTTGAATTTCAATTATTCTCATAATTTATAAATTCGACTATCATTATTTACTTAACTCGTTCATGTAGCGGATTACAAGAATTAAAGATACCCTTCGCATCAATCTATCATCCGCCCTTCGCTTAGCTTTATTGGCGGTGAAGGATCCGTCGGCCACCGTGTCATCCAAAGAAACCTTAACCCAAATATTGCGAACATATGCTTTGATTGATCAAACAAAATCTGCCGAAGAAGTTATTAGAGAAGAGTTGGTGGCTCCATTCATACAAGAGGTATATTAATCTATATGGTTTTTTGGATCGTTCTTTTAATCGCATTCTTAATAATTTTTCTTAACATAATATTGTACAGCATTTTTATGATTCATCTAACGCAAATCAACTTTTCGAATCGCCTTCTTATTTTTAATGGCTCCAGACAGTCAGCAGGCCAATTCTTGATAACCCTTCGCAACTGTTGATCTCTCATGTTTACCCAACACGTCCCGCACATTCTCAAAGTCAAAGTTCGGTCAAAACTTACTTCACCAATGCATACTCAAAAGAACCTTTGGCCCTTATGTACAATAGAATATTAAACTTTATTGATTCCGAATGTTTTATTCTTATGAAAATTACAAGAAAGGATCTTAAAGGAACTAGTTTTGAAATATTGGTTAATTCGGTGTGGACCGAGGTGGTAGATTCAATAACAAAAAGATTGTCGGTAATCTTTAATCCGGGGAATCCGAATACTTTTCACAAGGTACCTGAATTCGCATCGTCAATAATGTTTCGTAGCAATGCATCTCACTATTCTCATGTATTTCCGTTTTCCGGAATCTTTCCCAGAATTATACCATATCAATGAACTTTTTGCTAAGCATAGAAAACATGTGCGTTTCCAAGAAATCTTTAATATATCTACGTAACCACCCGTCTTACATGGAATTTATGAAAAGATGGCAATTACCGGTATACTTTCAACTTCGGTACGTTATGAAATTACCTCATTGATAATCCACGATCCTCCCAAGTTTAATCTATGTCTTATTGATCATCACAGATTTAAAGAAATTTCGTCGCATATAGAAGATGTTTTAAATTCCGGATCAGAAATTCCAGTTGACGAGATGATTGATTCACAAGGTTGGCACCGAGTATTCAAAGATTGATGAAAAAAAAAAAAAAAAATGAAAAAGAGAAAGAAATTAGTTTTGAATTATCAATTTACCCTTCGTCGTTGTCATTATCCTAGACCCTAAACCTCTAATCCTTCCGGCTAGCAAGTCGATCTTTCTAGCGATAGAGCGTTGTTGGTCTGATGAAGTGTTTATCTATGGACTCACTCATAGATTTTGGAAATTGTCGTTGCAGGTAGCTGGTTTTTGTCGAGTAGAGAGTTTCCTCTGATTCACATCTCTAAAATAATTTTAATTTTTGACCAGCTAGTGCAGAGATACAAAAATTGGTTGATGTCCATATTGGCAGGTTTGATCACCGAAACAAATGGTCACGGAAACGACAGGGTAAATCATTGTGCTGAATAATATGTTACGCTAATGCATTTAGGAAAAAAAGGAATTCTTCTTCCCTTGGTTTCTTTGTGTCATAGTTATTGATGTGGTTCCAATTATTTAAAATAGTTATCCTCAAGCTCTAAACGGTCAACCGGTGCACCAGTGAGCAGAGTCGGAAGTCCCGCGCCAAACTCGACAAACGGAAATGCTTCCACTGAAGCTCAAGATGACCTATTGTTGAAGCGTTTGACTATCGTAGCACATGATGTCGAAAATATGAATATTAAGGTTTTGCTATAGATTTATTCGTGTATTTGCTTTCTGAAAATTTTATTTATCTAAATACACCTTCACCTTTAGATGATGGAATTTTATCACGAACACATTTCCATCAAATTACCAGATTCGGTGATCGACCTTCCCATCATAGAAGGTTTTACTTACTTACCACTCTCAACTTTTTCCTTATTATTAAAACCGATAAATCTCTTACTTTGATGTTCAACCTGATTTTATCAGAGAGCATTACCAGCGCGTTATCGTCACTGCAATCAGATCTACCCGATTTCACTCAAAAGGTTTCAGCAATTCTTACAAATCGGTGCGCGGACACTCTACGTCAACATATTCGCAGTATTATTACACAATATCGTCAGCCAAATACCAAGCCACCTATTGAGGCTTCCTATTTTGTCCCGCACATAATTAAGCCACTGGCAACCTTCTGTGACGTTAATAAATTAATTCTCAACGACAGCAGGCGTAATGAATGGTGTTACAACGTCGGAGATGCGGTATCATTGCGGTAATTTTTTAATCAAGTTTGACGTTACGCTTGTAGACGCCGGTCTTAAGATTGTTAAGATTGATCTCGAGCGTATCATTCCTCAATCATGATTAAGGTATTATAACATTGTACATGAGCTTCTGTCTACCTTGAAGAAAACGGAAGAAAGTTCAAAGATAATGAAAAGAAAAAAAGGGAAAGGTGCCAGAAGCCTTGCCTCGTCACTATTTTCAGGAAACGGCAGCAATGAAACTCTTACCTCTACAGATGATCCCACAACGTCAATGAGCGATGAAGATAAGATTAGACTACAAATTTTTTTGGACGTGAAGCAGTTTGGCGTAGAGGTTTGATTCTTTGTACACATTTACCTCATGTGTTTTATTCCGATTGAACTCATGCCCTATTGACCCCTTGGCTATCACCTTTTAGTTGACCAACATTGGTCTAAGCCTCGATAAAATCAACGGCTACAATGAGTTATATAAAGTAGTGGAACCTTATGGTGAGCTGAAATTTTGTTTTTACACCATAAACTTGTCTTCCTCAACGATGAAATTACTTACACATTTAATTTTCATAAATTAAAAGATATACAAAAAACATAGGACATGGGACGCATATTTATCGTTTGAAAAAAGAATCGAGCTACACAATAATAATCGAATATTTAACCTCTAAATTATAAACTATGCATCTCGTCTAATGCTTTCGGGGGAAAAATAGTTAATTTATCTGTATCTATATAATAGGAGATTAGAATGGGACCGAATAGACCAAACGACAAATTTCTGTACAATTATTTTGAATCAATGTGAGGTTCCAAACATTGTTTTTATTTAGACGATTTCATAAAAATTCATATACAGTACATATTATACAAAATCAAAGTGAGAATTATGACGTCTTGCGTGAAATTTAATTTGTTTAACTTATAAGTGCATAAATAATGCGCAAATACTTGGAGATTGATTTACAGTACAATACAGTGTGGAACAAAAATAAATGAACAAAAATTGACTTGATAAAATGTATTTAATTTCAGTTTTAATCAACATCAGAGATTTGTGATTCTTTTAAATGATCAGTCTATATGGTGATTGATAAGATTTACATATTAATCTTTAATTAATAATTCGGATAGTATAATATCTGATGGTGATCGTACTTGAGTATAATATTTGAATTACTTATCTTTCTTGATAATATTATTAATAATTTTCTATTTTATTATAAATTTGCAACACTCTGTTTAAATAGAATATAAGAAATTCCTATATTAATTTATATATTTTTGAAATATTTTTATATAATTATGTGTAAATCTATATGGTTATTGATTACAAGTATAATATGTTTTTAATAACTTTTTTATGAAATTTGTAATTACTTAATTAAATTTATTGAATAATAAGCTTGCTTGTTATATGTGAAAGAATGATATAATGGAAAAGATTGCAAGGAATCCAAAAAAAGGATAAGATAAAAAGACCTCTTAATCTCTCAGGTACTAAAATTATATAATTGAAAAGAAAAGCTCCAATACTAGAAAAAGAAAGATTAGAAAATAAAGACCTAAAAAATATTTTATTAAGAGGAATTAGATTTGGGATAAGATGATTAAGTTTTGAATAATATTAGAACTTAAAGAGTAATCTACAATAGTGACCTATAGACAATGATATTAAAAGTTAAAAGGGTTTTCACCTGAACTCCTAATGAAGTGATAAATCATTTCTAAAGTTACACTTAGAATAATAATTATAAAGACGAGTGAGCTAGTTAACATTTTTTAACTTTAGTGATTCATATTATATGTATAGTTTATAATTATTTAATAAAGCATATATAACTAGTCTGACAGAGAATTAAAAAAATTTTTAATTATTGAATTATATATTATAATTAAACTTTTATATATATTTAGTAATTTATTTACGGTTGCTTCCAAAAGTTTGAGTCCACTTACTATGTTTTTGTTATAAATTTTAACTTTGACAATTTTTAAATCA